GTTTTAATTTGATGTAAACCACCCAGAGTCCCCCATTGGGGGGAGATGGGCAGGAATAAGTCAAATATCTATCTATCTATCTATCTATCTATCTATCTATCTATCTATCTATCTATCTATCTCCAGGGCAGTTTCTCCAAGGTGCTCCTCTCTGAAAAAAAAGCTTTCATCAAATGGAATGAGAACTGATAATAAAAATTGAAGATGTCTTTTTTCCTGCCCTGAACTAATTCATTTAAACAAAAAACAAAAAACCTTGCCCAGATATGCACTATCCTTTTTACTGCACCTGTACTGAATCTCAACTTTTCATAGAGAGAGGGAAAGAAATCTGCCTAGGGAATTACTTAGAGTTTCTTTTCTTTTAGATGAGGAAAAGTAAGAAAAAAAGAGAGGGGGAACTTTAATCAGCCTCCTCCTGAGAAATCCAAATGACCTGCAACTCTTGGCAGAGTGGAAATCGTCAAATCTCTTCCCTGCCATTCAAGCTGGATCTTTGAAACATAACCGCAAAGGTCTTTGCTTCACTGCAGGTGCAGAAATTCTGGCCCATTAACAGCTTGAAAGCAAGTAAAAATGGCACAGGAGGGCAGGTTTGCCATCAAGAGATGGCAGGCTGACTCCCAAGAGAGGAGGGCCAGCAACACAGAGTGGCTAATAATTGTTACTCAAAGGGGTGGGGGGCTGTTTGGAAGTTTCACTTTCCTTGGAAATAGTAATGCAGCTCATTTTTTCAAGTGGGTGCTCTCTGGGCCTCGTTGCTGCTGGGGGAAAAACAAAACAAAACTCCATTGAGCTGTGTTATTTATCTATTTTTATGTCCATCCCATCTTTCCATCTCTAGGATGTGCTAACAAAGAAAAATACAAACCCATAAATAACATTAAAATCCAGTTACTGCATGCCGTGATTGGTGTGGTCTGGTGCGTTCATTGGGTAAGAGGCAAGGGTAGAGGCAGTTCCATCTTGGGACACGGGATTGGGTGAGAGAGCTTCCCTTCCTGCTTCTGTGATCAGATTCCCCATTTCTCTTTTGGCTTAGAGTTGGTTCTCTCCCAGTTGCCCACTTAAAGGTACTATCTTGAAATCTGGTATAAATTCAAGCATGGCCAGTTAGTTCAAGGTCAAATCCATGCCTTCCCCACCTCCTTGATCCTTTTGGAACTGCTGGCTGTTGCCTTCACATCATAATGCAGAGTGCAATGGTAATAGTTCTTCTAGCTTTCCCTGTGAATACCAGCCGTACTGGACAGCTTCATATGGCAACAGGCCAGTTTGCGTGTTAAAGGTCAAATTCAGCATCTTGAATTAAACCTGGAAATGAATTGATAACAATGTTTTTGCATGTTGTCTTCCTTTCAGTAAAATCTCCTTTAAGTTGAGTACTACTACTGATTTATTTATTTATTTATTTAAATTTGTTGTGACCCCCCCCCCCC